CGAGTTTACAAGTAAACACATAAGTTCAGAGCATAGGTTATCTGCAGTCAAGTAGGACTAAAATAAGAATACATCACCCTCAGGTGAGTCCTACATGTCCCAAATCTGTCAGAAAGCCGGAAAGGACCTCGTGAGCCAACCACCGCTAAACTAGAACCTGGAGGCGCACAAAACAAAATGAGTGGGTCAGTAAAACAAATTAGTTTTCCAAAACAGTTCATTAAAACAATTATATCCCCTCGCCGTAAAAACCTGTATACTTTCCCAGAAATATATATAACCATATAAAATCTCAAAACTTAAATCTCAAATCTTTAACATTTTCAAGAAAACATGCCATGCCATAAATCAAAATATAAATCAGGTGAAATAAGGAATCAATCGGAGACCCTGCAGTTGGTCCTATACGATTAATTCAATAGCTCAAAAATCCCACTAAGCCGGAGTCACCACAGTGACCTATACGGCCCTACTCTGCACATCACTCGGAACTACGTAAGGTAGTCTATACGATGAAAGGTGTAAAAATACGCTCTAGTGCTTCTCTCATCATATCATCAGCGCGCATAACTAAGGTCACCCACTAGTCGGAATCACGCCTAGTGATCTGTACGACTAGCATGTCGGAACCCTCACATGGTCTGTACGACATCCACCTACTTGGATCCAAGGCGAGCGTGCGGTGTGGTGAATAATATAAGCACTAACACCTAGGGTGCAGATTATGAGCTCAACACATCTCAACAACAACAATTCAATGAATAAATGAACTCACCTGACTTACCTGTGCCTTCACAGCACCATGCAACATGTATGCATCATATATCAATCATATAACTCATGTGAAATTCACCTTTTCCAAATAATTCTATGCATGGCATTTTAAAAACGTTTTCTCATATAAATGCATTTTCTGGGAAAACAATAGCATATAGGTAATACGAAAACAAAACTGCCCACTCACTGATAAGTCGACGGGTCGTAACCCCCGTGGCGTCCCTGGATGCGGTCGTCCTCGGGATACGTCTCACCTATATGCGAAACAACTATAAAAACGTTAATTTTAAGCACATCACCAATAATTCGAAATAACTTCTCATACGATGCTCAATTTTTGGTATATGAATATACCACATCGACCTACTCGACGTCACGAGCGTCGAGAAATTTTTAGAAAAATTTTTGGAAGCCCCACGCGCCCCCACGCGCCACACGTGGCACGGGTCCACGTGCTGGCCACGCGCAGCACGTGCAGCGCACGTGTCGTCTTCTTCGCAGGGCCTCGCCGGACTGGTTCTCCGGTGGCCGGACTCCGGCCGAACTCCGGCCGATTTTCAAACTCACTGTTCTCCTTCGTTTTTCACCCATTTTCTTCGTATTTTATACCAAATTGAAGCCCTAAGAGTGTACTATCACGTTGGACTAGTTTTAGGGTCTAAAAACTACGAAATCTCACCTTGCAAAAACCAAGGGTTCGGCCAAACTTGAAATCTACGATCCCGACGTCCAAAACTCTCCAACGAACGTCCCCGAGCTTCCTTAGGACCTCCTAAAGCTCACCACAAGCTTGAAATCTCCTGAAACACAACATTTTACGTTCGCATGAACAGTACTTCAAAAATGGAGGTTCGGGATTCACATGAAATCGAAGGTTTCACTTCCTAAAACTAGCACCAATGAACTCAGGACGTCAAAACGATGAAGATACATACCTTATTTGCCCCGATCCGTCAAGTTTTGAAGGGTTTTGGTGGTGGTCCGTACGATATGGGTGTGTGTGAGGGTGTGAGTTCGAGAGAGACAGAGACAGGGAAAGCACGGGGAAAGGAGAGGGAGAGGAAGGTCATGTGTGGTCCAAATTAATCCACACCCTCCATTTCATCCTAACCAAACATACCAAAAATCAATTTCCAATAAAATCCCATCCAACCAATGCTATTTTCAAAATAACGCTACGTACCTACGTACCTTAATGTCCAATAAGGGCAATTCTGTCATTTCACATTCCCGTCAAAAGTACCTCCGGGACGGGCTGTGACAACAATAATGAGCCCAACGACTCTTTATTTCATCTGATGATACTGGATCATTGGATTGTTTTATGATCCAACAGCTTAGGTTCACTTTTTTTTTCCAGTTCTATATTTATAAATTTATTGAATCCAACGGTTGAGATCTAATATGATCAAATTTAAATTAAAAAAAAAGATCTCATTGCCCAAATTTAAATCCGACTGCTAACATAATTAAAAAAAAATTATTTCATAGTGTTCCATGAGTTTCATGGTGTCGGTTTAGTGATTTTTCAATATTTATCGGAATCTATTATTTTTTAGGTTAAAATGTTTATAAAATTAAATTAGGATAGTCTACATAATTTTTTTTTAAAAGTTACTTTAAACAAATTATCCTAAATTCATTCTTTTAAAATCTCAGGCTAAAATTCAATCTAGAAGGGTTGGAGCAGAAAAACTATTTATTGGTTAAAATAAATTTTCTAGGTTAAAAATTTTAAGTTTTAACCCAAACATTGAAGATGATTTTTAGAATAAAAAATAACAATAAAAATGGTAAAAAAAATATTTTTTAATTACTAAAAATAGATTTGAAGTTGTTGTCAAATTTACAACAACAACTTTTGATGTCAATCCACGTCATGCCACGTAGAAGTTGGCACTTTAGTTGGAAAACACTGAAGTTGTTTTTTTTTTTTACTGTTATTGCTGATGTCTTTTTGACTCTTCCTTTAGAGATGTTGTTTAGCTTAGGGGTGATAATCAAATTAGGATTTTGAACTATTTTAAAAGACCCTAAAATTATAGAGTAGTCAATGAGGATTTTAATTGACATTTTAAAAATCCATTCAAATTCATGTGTAGTCAATTAAAATTTTAATTGGCATTTTTAAAGTCCATGCAAAACCATGTGTATTAAAAAAAACTTGTGGGATTTCATTAAGTTATGAATTTTGGTGGATTCTAATGGATTTGATGAAGATTCTCTCTATCCAACAAGCATCCCACTTACTTCAAGCATTCGAGAACTTCAAATTCATATTTTTCTTGGATTCTTGAACTCCAGACATTCAAGAAAAAGTGCATAAATAAGTAGTTGACTTTTTAGCCAAAATGGTCCCTCATACATGAGAGATTGACGTAACTCCCTATTTTAGTCCCTGTGATTTGAAATAAAAAGAAGTGGACCCTGGTTGTGGGAAGTACACAAGTCATAAAAGAGAGAAGTCATTGAACTAAGAAATGGGTGAAAGGGGATGCATCACGACATGATCCTTTAGATTATTTTGAACGATTAGGATTAAAATTCTTGTATAGATAATTCAAAATAAAAAATCTAGATAAATGAGAGAATGTCTTTGAAAATCCATCAAATTCTATAAAGAAAGTCCATACAAATGCTTAAAAATCCATATACAAATCCTATCAAATCCTTAAAATTCTTCAAACCCTATAAAATCTATTTATTTAAAAAGTCTTTTAAAACCTCAAAAATCCTAAGTTGACTATACCCTCATTCAACAAACCATCTTAAAACTTAACAAGCAAGCAAACTTCAAAATTCACTTTTTGATATCGGTTCAAAATTCACTTCCTGATATTGGTTTAGTTTGGTTCCATACTTACTTGACATCTTATAGAAACCAAATCAAACCAAACCAGTCAATATGATAAAACCGATCAATCAATTTTAAACTAACCGGTTCGGTAAGTTCGACCAAATTGGTACCACTCCAAAGTTGTACCAAAGTGAACATGTTGCTGCTAACAACCAATAAAAATGGCCAATTCAAAGACAATAAAGAAATAAATAAATAAATAAATAGATAAGATAAAAGCAAGATGAAAAAAAAAGGGCCAGAGGAAGTTGATGACGCATAGAAATTAACATTTCGATTGGAAAACATTGAAACTATCTTTTTTTACTATTATTGCTAATGTGGACCTTTTGATTCCTCATTTGGAGATGTTGTTAAGCTTAGAGGTGGTAGTCAAATTAGGATCCAATTATTTTAAAAGACCCTAAAATTATGGAGTAGTCAATGAGGATTTTAATGACATTTTAAAATCTATTCAAATTCATATGTAGTCCATTAAGATTTTAATTGGCATTTTAAAGTCCATGCAAATTTCATGTGTATTAAAAAACTTAAAGATTTTGTAGGATTTCATTAAGTTATGAATTTTGGTGGATTCTAATGAATTTGATGAAGATTCTCCGTATCAAACAAGCATCCCACTAACTTCAGGCATTCAAGAACTTCCAATTCATTTTTTTTTTTTTAATTCTCAAACTCCAGACATTCAAGAAAAAGTGCATAAAAAAGTAGTTGGTTTTTTAGCCAAAATGGTATCTCAGATTGACATAACTTATTACTTTGGTTCTTATGATTAGAAATCAATAGAAGTAGTCTATGGCTGTGGGAAGTACACAAGTCATGGAAGAGATAAGTCATTGAACGAAGAAATGGGATGTAGCACGATATGAGCCTTTAGATTATTTTCAACGGCTATTTGGTTAGGATTAAAATTCTTGTATAGATAATTCAAAAAAATTAATTAGGTAAATGAGAGAATGTCTGTGAAAATCCATCAAAATCTATAAACAAAGCCCATACAAATCTTTAAAAATCCGCATATAAATCCTATCAAATCCTTAAAATTCTTCAATTCCTAAGAAATCTATTAATTTAGAAAGTGAGAGGTTTTATGTTCGAATTTAGTAGATGACAAATTCAATACCAAATTAAGTTACCCATTATGTGGTTTAGCCGAACTCCTCATCTCTTTAATATAAAATATATTGTTGTACCTAAAAAAAAAAATTCAATTCGACCGGTCGATCAGCTTTGAACTGACCGGTTCGGTAAGTTCGAACGGATTGGTTCCACTCCAAAGGTGCACCAGAGTCGACACGTTACAGCTGACAAGGCAATGACGACGGCCAATGCAAAGACGATGAATAAATAAATAAATAAAATCAAGATGAAAAAGAAAAAGAAAAAGAAAGGGGGCCAGAGGAAGCCGACGACGCGTAGCTTGTCGTTCATCTTACTCGAACCAGAAAACGAAAGCTTTGATCCCCAGTTTTTGGTTCAAGCTTGGAATTTTCAGTTCCAGCTACCTCGGTAAATAGGGCGGCCCCGTTTTATTCAGTGTGGTCTGTCGTTTTTTGACTTTTTCTTCTTCAACGGTCTGCCGTCTCTGAATCCGTCGTTGTTTCGTCGGCCTAAAACCCTACAAAAAGGTCGGTTCTTTCTGAAACCCCAAAGGAAAAAAAAAAATTAGGGTTTTTGGTTTTCATGGAGGCATCTTCCGGAAATGGTAGTCCCGCCAGTGGGGGAGCCAGTGGGGGAGCCACTGGGGATAGCAGCAATACGTCGTCGTTCGGGTCTATGCAGTTCCCCGCCCTCCGGTTATTCCAGTCGCCGCTCTCATTCGTGTTGGATTACTCCGGAATACTCTCTCCCAGCTCTTCGCGCCGCGATTCCGACGCTCCGGTGGTCAACGCTGTAGTCGTCGCCGATTCTCAGCCCCACTCCCCTACGGCCTGCACCTCCGGGTCGAGCAACACCGGGGAGGTTTCGATTCGGATTATCGGCGCCAGCGAGCACGAGGACCGCGGGAACGGGGGTGCGACGGTACCGGTTCAAGGGGAGGAGAATGGTGGGTCGCCGGGTAGGGTTCAATCGTTGGATGATCTGGCGGGTACAGTCAATGGGGTTGGGTCGGACGAGAGAGTCCCCTTGGTGGCTTCGTCGTCTCCCACACACGCTGGGGATACTGGGAATGGCGCGGAGGATAGTTCTAGGGATTCTGCTTACCAGAGATATGATATTCAGCAGATAGCTAGGTGGATTGAGCAGATTCTTCCGTTTTCGTTGCTCTTACTCGTTGTGTTCATTCGTCAGCATTTGCAAGGTACTAACTTTCACCACTTGCTTACTTCAAATTCTAATTGCAGATTGTGGGTTATTACAATTGTTCTTAATTTGCAACCAGCTATAATTTTGCTTGGATTTTGACTGTAGTTTTAAGTTTGAATTAACCTAATGTGTACCCGAAAATTCCGTCTTTGCTTTGTAAGTGTGGAGCTGTTGCGGGGCACTTGTGTTTTTGGTTCTGTTTATGTTACTTTAGAGGGCCTCTGCTTTACATTCTCTAGTATTTCTTTGTTTTTCAATTTGGATGGAGCTAGGATTTTCTTGGCACATTTGGAGTTGAGTCTCATCCATGTTCTTTGTTAATGTTAACGGTTGATGTTAAAAGATGTAGAAGCTATTTCTAATAGTCGGTGGCACAAAATAGAAATGCTAGCTTTAGAAAATTCAGTGCCTTGTTCTTATTATCAACTATCATAGAGATACCAATGTGAGAGGCTGTAACATCGCACATGAACACTTAAAACTTGAGAACGAGTTTTCTTCCACCAGGCACATACTTATTAGTTTTCAGTCCTAACAATACTTAAGTCTGAATATTAAGCTTTTCCGGTGCTAAAAAAATATCCTTTCTCATAAATAGAATGGTTAAACCCGTCAATGGAAATGTATATGTGGATGACTGGCGATCACTTTTTCACCTAATTGGTTTTGACGTACTTATATTTTTTTTACTGCAGTGCTGAATTCATTTGTTTTTTGGGTTGAGAACTTGCAGGTTTCTTTGTCACTATATGGGTATCAGCTGTCATGTATAGGTCGAATGATGTTGTTAAGAAGCAGACTGCTCTAAAGGTGATTTAATACGGTCGTTAATTCCATGAGATTATTTTGTTCATTCTGCCACTCTAAAATCTGCTCAAATGCCAAATCAAATATCTCAAACAATTATTGGTTTTTGCAGCGAGATAGGAAAATCTCTGTTCTTGTAAGTATTGCTGGTGCTTTTATGCTTCATGTAGTTGTTGTTTACTTGTGGTATCGAAGTGATGATCTTCTATACCCATTGGCAATGCTTCCTCCAAAAACCATACCACCTTTCTGGCATGCCATATTCATCATTTTGGTAAATGGTAAGGAGACAGTCTTTTTTGCTATTATTATTGTTTTATGAATACAATTGTTTTACTAATATATTAGATGTAGAGAAGACCGCTGATCTGTTGCAATCATCAGAAAAGGATGTGGTGGATGTTGGGGATAGAATGACAATAGGTTTTTAAGTTTTGCGTTTGAATCCTCAATTTATTGTTCAAGTCTGTCCGACTGGTTCAGGCTCTGTTAAGCATATTGTCTCTCTGTCTTTTTGTGTCAACTTAGAGCCTAATGTAGGGTTGGGCAGTCTCTTTTTCTGGTGCTATATATAATTCATGCTTCTGTCCTCTGTTTGTCCTTTTAATGTTGCCTGTTTATTTGCTATGCCACTGCGATTATAGTGGATGCTTATCTTCCTTTGAAATTGTGGGAGAGTTTCTCTAATTTCTGTTGCTTTCAGATACCATGGTGAGGCAGGCAGCGATGGCTTTCAAGTGTTTGTTGCTTATATATTACAAGAATGGCAGAGGCCATAACTATCGTCGGCAGGTATATGATGCTGAGCACTATAAATTTCCATAAGCATATCATCTCCATATCTCATTATTTGGAAGATCTCTCTGAACGCTGTTATCTCATTTTGAAGGGTCAAATGTTAACTGTCATTGAGTACACACTGCTGCTGTACCGTGCCTTGTTACCAGCACCCGTTTGGTACAGATTCTTCCTGAACAAAGACAATGGGAGCCTCTTCTCCTCACTTACAACGGGATTATATTTAACTTTCAAGCTAACATCTGTTGTTGAGAAGGTAAGTCAAATATATAGTAAGCTGTTGTACTGGAAGATAATGATATAAGTTGTGACACTTGAATTGAATCCATTAGTTATATTTTTATTTTATTGCTTTTTAGGTCCAATCCTTTTTTGCTTCCATAAGGGCATTGTCAAGGAAGGATATCCATTATGGGTCTCATGCAACATTGGAACAGGTATGACATCGAACTGAATTATTTGATTTATTTGGATTCTGGAAGCTCGATCAACAGGGTTGAGATCAGTTTTTTTTCTTCTAGAGATCAGGTTTTTTTTCTTCTATGTGTTATTGCCTCGAGTTATTATCCTCTATTACCCAAATAAAAACTGGCTCTACCCCTCCTTAATTTATCCTTGTTTAATGTTAATCTTTAACCTACTACTCTCGGGTTTTCTTGTCCTGTCACCAAATTAAAAGCTAGTTAGCTACATTAATCTTTCGAAAATATAAATTATAACCTCTTCCTGGTGTTCCTTATCCTTAAGTTTTGTTGACTAACTTGTTTTCTGGAACAACTTTGAGGCTTCTTCCTAGCTCAAATCAGAAATTTGATGTCTTTTTTCATGTTAAGAGTTCATCTAACAAGCAATGATGATATTCTATGCGGGCGCATTTATATCTTTATATACATCCAAGCATGTCTATTAAATGGTCAATTTGAGCTTAACATTTGTCATTTTGAAAGATGGATGTTTTATTCTTGATTTTTGTGGGTAATGAAGTATTTATCAATTTTGTGTTTGCATAGTTAATACGAGTATGTTGTTTTGGATGAGGGGTGCAAAATGTAATTGTTCTCATCCCCTAGGAGACACCTGATGGTTTTCTCCCAAGTTGCCTTGGTTTCAAGTCTGGTTTTTTTCATAGGCCACAAGGATGTGGAGAAATACCTCAGATTGCTCAGAGGATTCCTTTCTGTTAAAAACATAAAATCGATTTAGATCCTTCTGGGTGCAGCTTTGAAGCTTTGTTATCAATATATGTCCACGTCTACCTCCCTTGCTTCTGTGTGCACCAAAGCATGTTTAATTTTACATAGTGAATACTGTTCTTGTGTTTCTGCTGAAGTACCTATGCCTTCTAGCTCACTCGTATATTTAATCAGGTAAATGCAGCAGGAGACCTTTGTGCCATTTGCCAGGAGAAGATGCATGCTCCAATTCTGTTGCGCTGTAAACATATTTTCTGCGAGGATTGTGTCTCTGAATGGTTAGCGTATTTGCCTTATATTTCTCATTGAGTTTTAGAATCGTCACGATTTTATAGTTAAGACATTGGAATATGAGTTTCTTATGGTTTGCCTGGTAATGCTCCTTGCATGATGTTCATGAGGATTAATGATGAGCCTCATAAGTTCTAAAATATGAAGGATTCGATCTAAAATGCCATAATGTAAGTCTCTTTAAAAGCGTCATGGCCTTTGGACGAAATTCTGCCTCCGGCAATTTTGCTCTGCGCCAAGTTTGGGACCCATCTATTTGCTAGTTGGATCAACTGCATGACTAGAATTCTACTAGGTCCCTACCGGCTGCAGCTTTATTTTTTTATTTTTCAACCATTTTACAATGTAGTAGTGCTTTGTTTATGTTCTTCGCTTAACTCTTTCAACTAACTGACAAGTACTTACGTTTTTCAGGTTTGAGAGAGAAAGAACTTGCCCTCTATGCAGGGCACTAGTAAAACCTGCAGATTTGCGAACATATGGGGACGGATCAACGAGTTTATTTTTCCAGTTGTTCTGAACTCCGAGTGTTCTCCTCGTGGAGCGGATACATATGAGCAGCGTTCTTGAGTGTCTCGGTTTTGTTTTGTTTTGTTATATAGGCAAAAATGAATGTATGTCCAATAGCATTGTATCATCATCAGGTTGCCTCCAGGTAATCAGATGGAAGGTATGAGACGAGATGCGGATCGATATGACGTCAATATGCTGCAATCATGAGGTCATCCATGATCCCAGTGGATGATGAAAAACAGTAGATGACATGATTATTAAGCTGCCATGCCATTTCTCAGCTACAAAATGGTGGCCTCTGATTACTTTGGGGTCCTCTGTTCATATATTATCTCCTTTGTGTAGATACATCTTTTCACTCTCTTCGCTAATATTTACAAGATCTTTTCACGCATCTGTGTTTGACCGCAGAAGCAAATCCTCACCCACCCTGTATTTTGGCCACACGCAACTCTTATAACTGGCTTTGCTATCCTTAAAAGAGAAATCGGTTAGGATTTTTATGCAAAGATGAAGTGATGAACAGGTGAGGAATTTGCCCTATTTTGGACGAGATTCTCAATTAACAAAAGATCAAGTACAAATTGGTTAGAAATTAATAAAAATTTTAAAAAATGTTTGACAAAAATGTTAGATTTGAAATACACTACGTAACCTTTAGCTGACATAAATAAGAGTTATTTGCTAATCCTTTGGTATGTATACACTTTTATTTTTATTTTTAACCAACGATGGTAGTACATTAAGGAGTGAGGGAGTGGGTTATGTGGTTCAACTACGTCTTTACCAAAAATTGAATTTAAGGCCCTCACTTACAATTGAAAAGGAATATCACTAGATCGTAATACTAAGTGGTTGTATGTTTACATACAGTGTGTGAAGTCATGAATCCACGAAAGAAGGAATGAGGATGAGATTAACTATCCACCCCTCCCAGTTGATTTGATTCTTAATTTTTCATGCATTGGATTACGAATTTAAAACAAAAATTCACTTTTTTTAATGTTTCATATGTTAGGAAACATGAGAGAGTTAGAAATTATAATAACTAGGATACTCATGTTTTTAGAAGGGGTGGTTCTGTATACCCTATTTTACTTTTTGCACACTCTGTTAATTTCTGTCATTTGATCATTTTCAATTCCTTTGATTTGACCGTTGAAAATTGAAAGAGGTGTATGGATGACACCACACTTTCAGTAAATGCGGAAAACAAGAATTTTGCACACTGTTAATTTCTGTCATTTGATAATTTTCAATTCCTTTGATTTAACCGTTGAAAATTGAAAGAGTTGTATAGATGACACCACGCTTTCAGTAAATGCGGAAAACAAGAATCATAATGACCAATATCATTTGTAGGCTTCATTTATAACTATTTTAGTCCAAATAACTCATTGTTTGAAAATTCCTCATCTAAACATATACCATTACAATGCATGTATTTTTCTGAAATAGCATTACTATGCATGACGTTGCTGCATGCCATGAAATGCAATATATAATAAACCTAAGTGGTCCATTAGCTTTTGCATTCCAAGTAAATAAACTTTATAAGGTGGTGTATATTTTATTAGTGACATGAATCTAACAAGGAAAAGCAGGAACCAAAACTGTTTGTGGTCCAGTGACATAGCCTGGCTTGCCGTTGCTGCTCCCCATAGTCGATGGCTGTGGAATCAAAGTCGTACCATCGTCAGCCCTGCAATCTTCATGTCTTTCTTTTTAGTGCTAAAAAAGTAATACAAAAACAGCTCATGCATTCACGCATTTGGTTAATAATTCAATATTTTACTTGTTCATTTTCCTTCTGCTACTCAAATAGCTTCAACATCTGCCTTTTGGGACCACAATTTGGCAAAACCATTTATTTGTTTTTGCATCATGGATCATTGGCTGAGGTGTTGACTCCTATAATTTGCATCATTTGGTTATTTTTTTGGCTTCTTAGGCTCTGGAAGTTTCTGACTGCTATCAGTTGATTACATATTTCCCCTTCATGTTTACCAGCAATAGAGCCTTCGAAGAATATCTGGACCAAAAGGCTAGGGTTTCCTCAACTTATTTACTATCAAAGCATCTATTTCCTTGTTGTAACTTGTACATGTAACTTGTAAGGCCTAACTGAGAGTTATTTAGAGTTAATGGTTAAAGATATGTTTAAGGTTACTTTTGAAAGGGTTAAAAGTTCTTTCTGACAACTAAGAACTCTTCTGATTACGTGCGGCAGAAAACGTAAAGAGTTTATAGGTTGTAGAAGCATTTTCTGGAGAAACACCAACTAGGTGCTACATTTCCATGTGGTTTGCTGTAAACATGTTGAAATTTTAAACACTTACACCAAAAACAATTTTGAAAGGGTTAAAAGTGTTATTAGGAAACCAAAAACACTTTCATATATAACAGCATTTGACATAAAAAACGTTGAAGTGCGTTTATGTGAAACACAGTATTTCTTACAAAAATTCCAACGTGTATCTAATGGAAGCGATTTTAACAGTCCCGTTATGGTTTGATTGCTAGTTGGCCATGACACTAAAACCAGATTGAAATTTGAGACCATCTGGTCTTTGGTGGTGGCTATGATAATGCAGGACTGATCCTGTCCCTTAGCATTTTGATTTGACTCTTGCGCACTTTCCCATTGAGCAATGAGTGTAAATAGTGGTAAAAGATCGCAATATCCAGTCTCTCAGAGGCTTAGATATGTATACAATATGATGATGGCAAACAGGACTAGCTAAAAAAATGCACAGATGCCCGTCTGTTTTTTCCATAAGCACTCTATGCCACTCATGACCCTATTAGCACATCAAATTAGGAACACTTGTATGAAAGTTATGTTACCTTTCATGGCCGATTGTTCATGTACTAACTTGTTTTGGGTGCATCCCTTGTTTTTTAAGCCATGCAAGCTATTCCCCAAATCGAAATGAGTTCTTTTGTAGAGGCTGATTGTATACAAATATTTGTCTATTTTTCTTATATTATTATGTAAAAATTCTATTTCTAAGATTTTAATAAGGACGGATAACAATAGAGAATCGTCTGAATGCGTGCATTTTCTCGTTAACACCCAACACAATCAGAATCTAGAGCTAAAGCTAGGTCTGAACTCGATTATGGAATGCACTCGGCGAGGGCGGCTACAACTGTCACGTAAATTTGTCATTTTATCCAAAACTTTCCTCCCAAAGGAACAGTGCCTGGGGTGAAAATTGTTTAAGCATGTCGCAAAATAGAATTACATAATGCGAAACAGGATGATAGTAAAATCTGTCTCACTAAAAAATGATAAAAAGGACATCATGGACATGACACATGAGTTTGGCTGTTTCTTTTGTGCGTACATACCAACCCTAACCCCCCCAAAAGGATCCTTCCCTAACCCCAACCCCAAGACTGAAAGGATACCACTACCACTACTAGTGCCATTGTGGTGTTTACTTGTTAGAAACTGAGCCATACATTGATTGACCCCAGAGAATTAGAAAAGAAATCCCAAAGTGGTAGCTGCAGTGGGAGTGGGACTGTGATGAGAGTGCACACAGTACACTCTCAGAGATAAACGTGGGCTGTCGGTTGTCCCCCTCCAATAATATTTTTTTCCGGTGTTGAGGGGATCAAAATTTTTAATTTAAATGATGTGAATGTTGATAATGGAAAATGTTGATTAACATGCTTATTTTTTTAATTGTAACACATCTTTTTATTTGTAAATTTGATTTAAAATTTAGTCTTTCTAGTATTATTATTATTTTTCATTGGATTTCATTATCTTTCCTTAAATAAATTGCTTTACACTACATAACGTTTTATCACAGTGACAAAAATCAATTATCTATACATTCCGATGAGGGTTCAGTCTTCATTTATTCTTCTCTCTCCTAACTAGTGTTTGAAATATCCTGGATATGCTTGATATTTCCACGGAAATGTCCAAAAATTCAGGGAACGATATGGAAAGAGGGGCCCATATCCGCGATATTTTCGAAAATTAGTCAATTTCCTCGATATTTTCGATATTTTAATGAAATATCCTAGATTTGTAGACAATTTACAAAAAGTTTGCAGGAAATATCCATGAGCCTATGCATTATTTATTTATTTTAATTTCTTTCTTTATGGAATTAGTTTAATTCAATAAAACTTGTGCTGTTTTCGTGACGAAAATTTCAATTAAGTTATGTATAATTTATTCTTTCTAGTGAAATGCTTTACTTTATTACTTGTCATTAAAAGGAAGTTTTTCTTCTCACATGTCACATACTTATTGTTTACACAATATCTAATTATTAATTATTGATTCATACATGTGTTGTGGCTTCATACGACATTCCCTAAAAAATAATTTTAAATTTCCATATTTTTAAACAAATTTTCATCATTTCTATCGAAGAATCAATGATATTCGACATATCAATTAATATTTCCACAAATTTACCTATTGATTTTTTCACCGATACTGATATTTTAAACACTGCTCCTAACAACTAATTATATAACATACTAACTACCGCTGTGGACAAACAAATTGCTCTGCATCCGTTATTATTATACACAGTTAAATTTAAGTTAAAAGTCATCCCATAAAACGTAACTTTAAGTTAACAGTCGTCACATAAAATACAAGTGCATGTTATTGTTTTTCTCGACTAATCATGGTAATTAAGTGTATCAAAATACCTAAGTGGTAGTTGCAGTGGGACTGAGAAACATTCTTTCAATCTGTTAAATTAGAATCATCATACATTCGTTCGTAGTTCAATTCCTTTTAATAAATATAATAAAAGAAATAGTATCTTGAATTTGGATCAGGATAGACTCATTGTTCAATCCCCTTCAATACAACCGAAAACAGTATGTTAAAATTAAATCAACAAGAAAAATTTATTAATTAATGGAAATCATTTAGTGTTGATGTTTTTTTTGTAAAATTAGTATGGGTAATACTAGAGATTAAATTTTCTAAATTAAAATTTGTAAACCAAATAATGTAACATTAATATTAAATTATTACTTAAGTATTTTTTATTAATAACACATTATTTAATTTGTAAATATAATTTAAAATTTTAATCCCCCGATACCCAAAAACCTACAGTACAAACTCAAATCCAATTCAAGACCCTGTCTACTCAAATCCAATTCAAGACCCTGTCTATATATATTCTTCTCCTTTCATTGGGTCAGCTAAAGTGTTGTGTGCGTGTTGGGGTGTGTGTCTGTGAGAGAGAGACTCCTTAATTAATTATCTCTCACAAACCCTTTCTTGTTTATCTTCATAATTATCTTCTAGTGAAAATTCTCCTGAAAGCAGAAAAGTGAAACCCCCCTCTCTCCGGCCTGCGTTTAGATTTGCTAAGATCCTGAGTCGCTTTCCTGCGTCTGACTTTCATATGGCCATGGGGACAATGACCCATCTTTTCTATTTGCATCATAAATATAAAACTCTCTCCTGGAACTCCCTTTTCTTCTTCTCCTGCCAGGAAAATATGGATTAGGGTTTTGAAGAACGCCTCTAATTACTAAGATTTTAGGGTTTCGGTCTCTTCCATTATTCTGTACACTATTTGTGGATCCTATATTCTGCAGACGAAGATACTACCACTTACTGCTTGGAAGGTTCATAACTAGTGAGTCAATGTCTTCTCTCTCTCTCTCTCTCTCTCTCTCTCTCTCTCTATATATATATATATATATATATATATTGTTAGTTTTTCATACTGTATGCCTTTGGGGGGTTTAATTTACCCCCTCTTCTAGCTGCAGTCCTTTGGTTTGGTATTGTATTTGGTCCTTTAATTTTTGTTTTAATTGATTTAATCTGAAGCAGAAAGTTGGTTTTATTTGTAAGATTCAAGTCTCTTAATTTATATGACTATTAGCCTCTTCGTTTTAAGCTATGGTCTTTTTGTATGAATATTAGAGCGTCTTTGTTTTTCAGTTTGCTAAAGATTCACTTGTTACCTTAGCCTCCTTAAAGAACCAAATGTTATTGTTTTTTTTTTCAACTGTAATATATGTATGCGGTCCTTTTTAAACTAACTTAACGAATTGATTTTCCAACTGTAAATTATATGTTCATAATGAAACTTGGGGTCGTATCAGTACTACTCTAGATTCTGAAATAGACATTTTAATTTATTTTCGACTTCTGGGATTTATGAGAATCTGAGACCAAACATAAGTTTAATCAACTTGTACGTGTTTGATAATTCCTAGCTACTCAATGAATTGGAAAATCTTTTGGGTAGTGATATATAGCCATTGATTTAGGACTGAGATATATCTTTACCTATTTAAATATCTTCCTTTTTTTTTTCCTTGAAGAATCCATGGAAAGGAATAGGGTTGCTCTTAATTAAGCTAATTTTTGGGCATTTTCTTAATGGAAAAAGCTCTCAATATAATGAAAAAGCACTTTCTTGTATTTGAAAAATTGAATAAATGAATTCGGTGTCTTTTTTTCTGGACTAAGAATTCAATATGTCTTTGTCTATGATTTGCAGATGTTGAAGTTGCTTTCATTGATTTGGATTGTGAAAGTGGTGCACAGTACTACCAGTACTACTGCAGTTGCATGGTGGGGTTTACTTGATTTATGGATACAAATTTACAATGCAATATCCGCTAGGTGTAAAAATTATATGGTGAATATTGAAGAAATGGGGAGAGAGAGCTTTCTTCAGTCCACTCATGGATAGAAATCGAAAGGGTTGTTGAAGTAACTGCCGACTCATTCACTCAAGCACTCAGTAGAGATTAAAGGAGTGTAAACATCAGACAATTTGCTACTGTGATTGTGTGAATGAAGCGGGAGATATTTTACATCCCTCTTTCTCTGCGCTTGGACTGAAGGGAGCTCCTCCTTTTCATTCTCTCCACTTTTCTCCATCCCTCAGTTAAGGTTTAGGAGCACTAAACTAAGTTAGGTGCCAAAACTTAGTTACTACTAATTAGTTTCATATGCGTATATATCAGTTAGGGAAGAGTTAATAGTATCATCATCATCATTCTTTCCCATCTGTTACATGCTTAAGTTGACTGATGGTTACCATTTGGTTCTCTGGCAAGAAGTAATGTGTAGTTCTCTTACTGAAATGTGTAGTTTAGCTTCATAGTTTAGCAACACAAGTTATGAATGTATATATGTTCAGATTCAGAGTCTAGTAACATAAGTTAAGAAATACATGTTTAGATTCACAATCTACCAACATAAGCCATTGCATATATGCACCCCTCATAAGCATTTGATGAATCAATTTGCTTGTTGTAATAGCAAAAACACCTTTTCTGAATTTCATGGGTTACTAGTTACTAGTAGCTGTACTCCAACTAGTACCAATGACCATGCATATGAAGAAGGGGCCTACGTCAAGTGCCTTCTCTTGTCCACGGGGTTGATCACAGCTCTCCCATTGTCCTCCTCTAATAATTTTACTTCATCTCCTCTACTTTTTTCACCCGACAAGTAATCTTGGTCAGGTGCTTTTATCTTTATTTACTTTCCCATCTTTTTAAATAATGTTCAGTCTGTAACTTTTCCCTTTCCCCCACTTTCTCACCTGTGATACTCAAAGAAAACATGTGTCATCTGTAGGTTCTCCATATTGTGCATGCTAAAAAAGAACACTGAAGGTTCTCGGTTTAGTTTGCAGTTTTTCTCGGGTACTTCAAAATTCAAATCGTGTGCAGGCCATGCCAGTAACATGCAGCATGCATGCACTCACCATTCATGACATTTTACCAAAAAATTTCAAGAAACTGTGCTCTTTTCTTTAGGCTAAAGAAACTGTGTTTTCTGCAATATTGGCCAAGTACTTATTTAGTGTGTGTGTGTGTATGTGTGTGTGTATATATACACATACATACATATATATATATATATATATATATGCAGGCAGAAGGCCTCGGTTTTCATTCTTGCATTGCATGTGTTCATCGAAAGGTGTACCCTATGTCACACTTTTAATTCATCTGGAGTTGAGCCATCCAGTCTTCTATGCTGTCATTCGTTGATTTATTTTATTTTTTAATTAGCAATAAGATCAGATGCTTAATCCGTACTTAACCAAATACTTTATAAATAATGGTCGTATTTGTTGAACAGATAAGGAAATTAAAGCCAGCATTTTATATAATCTTTTGTTGGAGTCGGGTTATATTTTTAAGTTATTTCTGAAACTGGACGGTGAGTGGCTTTATCTGACGATGTGGTGAGTTTATATATTTCCATATTTGGAATGGATTGGAGCTGATGTGCCAGATCGCAGAGAGCTTGGAGCTCCTCCACTTGATGTTTTAATATTTGTAAAATGTGCTGCAGAGTGACCTATATTAGCATGCACTGTGATCCGTTTATTTTAATTTTTTTTCTTTCTTTTCAGGAGTTTCAACTTCAAGTTCCAATTTTTTATTTCTTTTCAGGAGATTCAAGTTCCAATGGTGCAGCTCGAGTACTATATTTTGTTAGGATCAAGTTCGAATTTGTTGTTTTATTATTTTCACCATTTCACGAATCTTTTGCCTTTTTCTCGGGGCATGATAAATGACAAAGGGGTGGTGGTAATTCAATTAGAAGGAAGTAGTTAGTCTACAACAACAAAACTTTATCTTACTAAGTGGGTCGGCTGAATAAAGTACTTCAATGTATTCATTTTTGTGTTAAGTTTTACATTAATTTCAAGTGTATCCTGAAGTAATTCTCAAGAACATGGAAATTTTAGGGTATAGGAGTTTTTGGGCTCATTTGAAAGTATCAGAATGAAAGGAAGCCATGAAAAGTCCAAGGCGAAGCTACTCGGCCCCATAGACCAAGAAGCCCAAGGTATGAGAAGCCTAGGATGGAACACGGCCGAGCACAAGAGGGCGATCGCTGGTCGGTGTCATGCATTAACTGCTGACCAACAAGAGCATGTGGAGATTGTCTTTAAGGAAAGGTCTACTCAGATGTCAATCGCGTAGCTTGGTGACTCGAAGCCAACTGCAAGGACCCCGGATGGGACACAAAGCAAATCAGAGAAGCGCTCGGAGATATTGGGTTGAACGATTGAGACCGATCGAGAAGAATAGTGCACTTTACTCTGGGAATGTGAGTACACTCAACTGGACACCCATGATTTACTTCATCGTCGAATGTCAAGTTGGCACGTAAAAAGATATGCTAGTACGTTAGTCTACATAGATGACAAAATAAATGCCCATTAGAAGGGATCCAAATCACTGGAGTTTTCTGAGGGCCTATATAAATGGGTGTGGAATCTGGATCCTCTTATCGGGGTTGGATAAAAAAAGAGATTATGTGTATTAGCCGAGCGTTATCTTACAATTAAATGAATTTGTGCAAAACAGTCGACCTAGACCAATTTGAGGGTTTACCACTTACATTCCATACCTATTAAGGGTTTAAGATCTTTGTTTGTTAAGCTTATAACCTGATGAGTGTCATCAAACTCATCTGGATTTGATCTATAAGTTTTGAGCGTTAATGAATTTACTAATGATGCTCACGTCATTAAGAGTATTTATCAACGAAGAAAAAAAAAACTACAAATTTTTCTAAATTCAAATTTAAAACAAATTTAGGTATTTGGATAATCTCCATAGAAGACAAAGTGGGACAATAAATGACAAATTACGCTTCCTAAGAATGAATTTTGGCATCAAGTAATCCCTTTTTATAATTGAGTGGGATCAACATCAAGTTGATCAACTAATCTTTGTATGGAAGTACTTTTAAAATAGCTAAAAGTACTTTTAGTGAAAATATTTTTAAAATCAGTTGTTTGTATATTCTAATCTTTGTATGGAAGTGCTTTTAAAATAGTTTAATGTACTTTTGGTGAAAATATTTTTAAAACCAAGTCTTTGTAAATATACAAGTGTTTTTAAAACCATTTATTTCTACAAACTTTTTCTTAAAGTGTTTTCAGTTATTTAAAAAAACAAGTGAGAATCGAAATGAACAGCAGTAATGTGGTTCAAATCCGCATTTAGTGAAAATCGAAACTAAGACATTTCATTTACAAATGAAAAGAAATACTACTAAATCGTAATAATAAACACTTTTAATCTTTTAAAAAAAGTATTTACGAAATTTACTTGCATTTTAATTAAAATTTTAATTTAAAAATATTTTAATAGAAACGCTTTCAGTTAATTTAAAAATGAACGAACAATTGAGCAACATCTATTTTCAACAAAAAGAATAAAAACCAAACAAGGAGAGGAAAGAAAGTAAAAAGAGAATCGAAAATTTAAAAAGGAAAGACAGACGTATCGCTGTCGTCTCCTCTCGTCTCGTCTGGTGTTGATGGCCTGTCTCAGATCGAAAAGGTCAGTTCATCCAAATTCAGCAATTGACTCTCAAACTCTGAATCTGATTTCATCTCCTTCCTGCTGTTGCCCTCCAGTCCCCTCTTCTCTCTTTCTTCCATAAATTTAATCAATTAATTCGATTTTTCATTTTTTCTGATAGAGCATCTGCGGCGCCACGGAAGATTCAGTATTTGCCTGATCGTTGTCAAACGCTGTAGCAGCTGTGAGTTTGTCAAAATTTATAATTATGGTTATTGATTTCTCATGATCTTCTCATTGCTGTACTGTGAAAAGAAAAGATGGATAATTTGCTGCTAAATGTGCTTAATTTAATGGAGATTAGCTATATTTTTAGTACAATTAGGTTAATTTGATGATGGGTATTGGAGATCTTTCTCTAAAGGATGGTAATTTATATAGAATTTTATAAGTTTTCTCTCTTTCGGGTTACTTTTTGTTTCGAATTAGTTGGATTTAGTAAGGTTGATTTGATATTCGTGTTAAGTTTATACTTTCTGTTTGAAATTGTTGTTCCCTATAAGTAACTGGTACTCTTTTCCCAGCTTTAGGAACTGATAGAAACTGCTTTTATTGTATTTGAAATTTTTGACATTGATTTAATTTTTTTGATGGAATGACAGAATTAATCTTGTGCACCTGTGGTTATCCATCTTTTGGTGCTCGGGTTATCTGTCGTTTCGCATGATTATTGATTGTGGAAATTGGTTTTAAGTGGGCCTGATTCCCTCATGAGTTCAACAGTGTCAACATCTCGAGGAATGCATTCACCCGCAAGGCTTGGCATGCATGAATCACCGGATTCTGGGGCTTCTGGTTCTTACAGCCCGCTCGAACCAGATGTCAATGACAGTGAAACGGATTTGCTCTCTGTATCGTGGAATCAGGACTACGGTTGCTTTTCTGCAGGCACAAGCAATGGTTTTCGAATCTACAACTGCGAGCCTTTCAAAGAAACTTTTAGACGTGATTTGAAAAGTGGGGGATTCAAAATTGTGGAGATGCTATTCCGATGCAACATTCTTGTACTTGTTGGTAGCGGGGACAATTCACAATATCCGCCTAACAAGGTTATGATTTGGGATGATCATCAGAGTCGATGTATTGGTGAATTTTCATTCAGATCTGAGGTTCGTGCTGTAAAGTTAAGGCGTGATCGCATAGTTGTGGTTCTTGAGCACAAAATATATGGTTACAACTTTATGGATCTGAAGCTGCTGCATCAGATTGAGACTGTAGCAAATCCTAGGGGATTGTGCAGCCTTTCACACCATCCAAATACATCTGTGCTGGCTTGCCCGGGCCTTCAACGAGGACAAGTTCGAATTGAACATTTTGGGCTGAACTTGACGAAGTTAATCAATGCTCATGATTCTCATATTGCATGCTTGACCTTAACAATGGACGGGCTGCTTCTTGCAACTGCTAGTAATAAGGGTACTTTGATAAGAATCTTCAACACAATGGATGGGACTCGCTTGCAAGAGGTAGCATATTGCATGTGAAC